GTAAAATAAATATACATTATATAAACAAAATAATAAATATTAAGTAAAATAAAACAAAAATAAATATATAAATAACATTTCCCTTACATTAGAGCTCCTGTTATTTTTTTTTTATTGCAATCTGTGTCTCCAGTCACTGGATTCTCTGTTTGTCCTGGTCACCATTGTCACCGTTACCGAAAGTTACAGGAATCGAAAATTGTTGGCGTGAGAATAGGAGGCGATGTGAGATCCGGTGTGGACATGCGTGCCGGTGACAACTGCCTGCAAGGGGAATCCCCCTCCATTTGTAAAGATTTCCTCACACTTCCTGTTGCATCTCTGGGACAGGAAGTGAAGGGACATTTTCCCTATCAGCACAGAATAAACTCTTGAGAAAGAAGTTTATTCCAAAGACAGACTGCTGACCAAGCCTATGCGTTTCGGGGGGCTGTAGCTCCGCCCCCTTCATCTGGGCCTGAAACAATGCATACAGGCTGAGTCATTAAAGTAGAACCAGCCGCCGATGGAAGCTGTGCAAACCTACAACACCGTCATAAAAATACTTATATGACAGCCTGTAACTGAACAGTCAAGGAGCAGCAGGTGGCTGATGAGGTCATCTCTCTGCTCACTCATTTGTCTTCCTCCTATCAGAATGTTTCTTGTCTGCACATTTGCATGAAGCGCGCCTGATTGGCTCCCAGTTCTGCATTCGGTTCTGTCTGTCGGCATAACACCATATGCAGTCAGCACGGCGACAGTCTGCGTGTGGTTCAGCCATGTTCTGAACTGACAAAATTGCTCCCTGTGTAAAAATAATGGTGCGGCCCTCAGCGAGCGCCGAGGTCTCATTGTTCCGGAGCCGGGAGCCTGTAATAGAAACAACATGACTGGCCAGATATTTGGCACTGAGATCATTTCTGTATTCACCGAGACAGCAGATACTATACTGGCGGGGATTGGACTCCATGAAATACCTACGGGGGAGGGGGCTGTCTGTCTGTCCATCCAGTCCCAAGAAATTCACAGCCTGTCAGTCCCCTGACTTTTTTTTTTTTTTACTGCAG